AAGAGTTTCACAACTTCCTTGCACCATTACAAATTTTACGATTACTTTTTGTAATTTTAATAGGTTTTTAGTTGTTAGATTTAAATTTTACAAATGTTCAAATTTTAACTAATTATTTTCATATCACTCAATACAATATTATTGAAAAGAATTGATACTGTGAACAAGTTTTTCAAAATTATTATTTATTATTTTTAAACAAACGATATTATGTGGTTCAGATTCACTTTTGACGAGAATCAAATTTAAAATCTCTCACTTATAAATAAAGAAAAATATCATTAGACCGTAATACTAAATGACGAATTATCATTATTGATCTACCCCTGGCCAATATGATGAAGATTCCATGCAGGGCTTTGATTAATTGCTTAGCAAACAAGATTTAGCTAAATTGGTTCAAGTGGAGGTTTCAAGTACATGCAAACGTTCTCGTTTCTGTACTCAAGTTTGAATAGCTGGCTCACAAAGTAGTTAAGATTATATTATAATCTGAATAGTAAGAAAAGACCAAGTTAGTTCGATGCAACTTAACATGTGATCTTATTTGCTAGCAAATCCGGTCAGAGCCTGAGTTGAAGAAGGAAGATCTCACTCAACTGCTCAGTTGTTGTAAACTGTAACAATGGCGAACTCACATCTTCTTCTTCTTCTTCTGTTGACATTTTCCCTCCTCTCCGTCCACCACTCAGCTGCTACTCAGTCAGAGTCCGAGCCTTCTGAAAATCCAGCAGCTGCTCAACCACCCACCACCTCTAACCCGAATCAATTCCACTGACAGACACTCTCTGTGCAGCATTGAACCAACTCCTTCCCTCACTATTTCTTGCCACCAAGGCAACGTCACCCAGCTCCACATTTCTGGCGGCGGAGATGGAGCCGCCTTCCCTCCGCTGCCGCTGGACTTCTCAACCCACTCTCTGTTCTCCGCTCTCGCCGCCGCCTTCCCAACCCTCAAAGTCCTCTCTCTCGTTTCACTCCGACTCTGGGGGCCACTCCCTCCCTCCATCGCCCGTTTATCTTCCCTCGAGATTCTCAACCTCAACTCCAACTACCTCAGCGGCGCCATACCTTCCCATATTTCGTCTCTCGTCAACCTCCAGACTCTCATCCTCGACCGCAACAACTTCACAGGCCAACTCCCGCCGTCGCTGGGTTCGCTTCCGTCGTTGGCCGTTCTCAGTTTGAACCACAATCTCCTCAACGGCCCTCTCCCGAGTTCTCTGGCCTCTCTGCAATCCCTCAGAGTCCTCTCTCTCTCCCACAACTTCCTGTCCGGCGAAGTTCCCGACCTCACAGCCCTCACAAACATGCAACTTCTTGATTTGGAAGCCAACTATTTTGGGCCTCATTTTCCAAGCTTGCCTTCCAAGAACAAGCTGGTAACCCTCGTGCTCCGAAACAACACGTTTCGCGTCGGAATCCAAACCGGATTCCAAGGCGGTTTTCAGCTCCAGAAGCTTGACATTTCACTCAATGAATTCGTGGGGCCTTTTTCGCCGTCGTGGCTGTCGCTGCCATCCATCAATTATCTTGACGTCGCCGGAAATAAATTCACCGGCGTGCTCTCCAAGAACATGTCTTGCAATGTTGAGCTTGCTTTTGTGAATTTGTCATCAAATCTTTTGGCAGGGGACTTGCCCACTTGCCTCAAAAACCGGGGTTCGAAGAACAACAGGGCTGTTGTTCTGTATTCCGGGAATTGTTTGACGAATGTAGATCAGCAGCAGCCTTCTAACTTGTGCCACAATGAAGCTCTGGCTGTGGACTTACCACCTTCTGGTGACGGAAAAATCAAGAGGCGTCATGATAACAAACAAGTCGTTGCATCAAGTGCCGTGGGAGGAATTGTGGGTGCTGCTGCAGTTGTTGTTCTGGCTTTCATGGCTGTTAAGAGGTTATTGTACAGCAAACAGCCGGTCAAAAGTCCCCCAACAAGGTTGATTAGAGATTCAGCTTCACCAGTCAACACAGCCAAGCTACTCTCGGATGCAAGTAAGTTCGAAATTTCTGTCCTTTTAGTTGTCGGTATGAGAAATTGAGAATCCATTATTTGCAGAATATATATCAGAAACAATGAAGCTGGGAGCTAGCCTTCCTGCTTATCGAACGTTTGCTTTGGAGGAGCTCAAGGAAGCTACCAACGACTTCGATGATTCAACGTTACTTGGCGAAGGTGCACATGGACAGGTATTCAACATGATTTCGTGACATCGATACGATGTTCTCTCAATTTGCAATTTGCAATAGTTCATTGGAAGTCTACGATTGAACTGCACTAATACAAAAGCCTTCGAATTGTACAATCTCTTTCTTGTAGTTAATTGTCCTGGCGATAATGATATGAATATTTCTTAGTCTGTATGATCTAGTTAAATGCAAATTTCTCAGCCTAAAATTTGTGTTTTTCCGTAACAATAGCGCCAGATGTATAGAGGGAAGCTCCCCGACGGAACACTTGTTGCTATCAGAGGCTTGAAAATTAGAAAGAGGCAGGCTACACAGGTCTATACACACCTCCTTGAGCTGGTTTCGAAACTGAGACATAGCCATTTGGTTAGCGCTCTTGGACATTGCTTGGAGTACAATCCTGATGATTCGGGCGTCAGTAGAATATTTCTTGTATTCGAGTTTTTTCCAAATGGAACGCTAAGAGGCTTCATCTCTGGTAAAGTTACTTTTCATGTACTTATCCTGCTAACCAGGATTAATGGTTGCATTTTCAGTTAATAGCACTTTCAATGAAGGTATAAAGAACATGCGCTTACTCTGAATCGTTCTTCTATTCGTAGAAAGTGCTTTCAGAATCAGATGATATCCCGTACGCTACATAATTCTTGTGAAACCAAGAAAAAGAAAGATTAAAGTACACTGTAATATCAAATGCATGAAATGCCGAACAACATGTTATCATTATCTTTCATATCTTTTAGCAGAAGGTTTCTAGGTGAAACCTATTAAGTTGCTCAGCATTGCACGCATATATGTGGCAATGGAGAGTCTTCCATTATGCTTCACTTATTTCCTCGTCTTCTTTGATTACTTCTCTTCGTAACATCTTTGCATTTGGAGAAATTGGATACTCACATGTAACACTTGTTTGGCAGGACCTCCAGCACGAAAATTTACTTGGGCGCAGAGAATAGTAGCTGCAATCGGAGTTGCAAAGGGCGTTCAGTTTCTGCATACAGGGATTGTTCCTGGTGTAAAATCAAATAATCTCAAGATAACAAATGTCTTATTGGATCACGATCTTCACGTGAAAATAAGCAATTACAACCTACCTCTTTTAGCCGAAAACAACAGGGGAACGGTAAGGCCTACAAAAATTACAGCTTTGGTGAGTTAAAATCCCCCTCGACATTGTCCTCCGAGTTAACTTTTGCTTTTTAATCCGTCAGGTGGGGACTGCAGTTTCTTCTCCTGCACCAAAAGGAAGCATTCATACTAGGTAATAGCATGTCTACATACCAAAGTTGTACAGAAATCGATATTAGCTGCACTCTCTCTGTTCCAAATGAATGTCCTTTCAACTTTAAACGCATACGAGCTTGGCCTTCCTGTTAATCATCATATAAGTGCCTGTCTGGTTCGGTTGCTGATCATCATTATTAACGATGACACCATTCTAAACGAAGTTCCTCGCCGTTGAATCTCCCTCTAGCTTCACTGAAATGCATTAATATGGCCGCCTTTTCTAATGAATTGTTTCAGTTAGAAGCTTTTTTATTTTGGGTATTTCATCAGCATTGCCTGACCCGGTTACCCTTTCGCACAATCACACACACGGATGATTTTGTTAATTACTGTCATTTGCAGGGTTAACCATGAGTGTAAGAACGACGTTTATGACATTGGAGTAATCTTGCTAGAAATGATTCTGGGGAGACCTATCATGTTCCGAAATGAAGTTGGTGTTTTGAAAGACCTTGTGAGTGTTTTCTTTTAAATCAAATTGTTCTTTCCTTTCACTCTCAAACTTTTTCCAGTTAATTTCATCTCCGACACAAGTGAAACATCGTTCTTGAACCAACAAAAATTGCTTTCTCCAGCTAAACCGGCAATTTGTTTTTGGTTGTTTCTTACACAGGTACGAGTAAGTTTGACGATTGATGACACAGCTCGGAGGAGCATTGTGGATGCAGCAGTGCACAAGGAATGCTCGGACGAATCGCTGAAGATAATGATGGAGATATGCGTGAGATGTCTTACGAATGATGCAGCTGATAGGCCTTCAGTTGAAGACATTCTTTGGAATCTGCAGTTTGCAGCGCAGGTTCAGGAATCAGCAAGAGAAGACTGTCCGAGTAGTAGTCAAGGCTCGCCCGTTTCATCACCCTGACTCCAACTAGTCTGACTTTCATCTTCCTCCTCCTATATTTCCATCAGTTAGGGAACACTCTGTGTATTATGTAACGTACCATACCAAATGGAAAATGTATAAGCTCTATAAGGCCTTAATTTTTTTATTTTATTTCTAGTATTATGTTATTATGCCCTTCAGTTTTGGTGTAACATTTTATAAAACTCCCCCTCATACCGTCGAGATTTTTTTTAGGAAAGTGATTTTCATACATCCCCTTTAGCTTCTCACACACCATTCTTTATCTATTGGCTAACGGATTGAATAAATCAAACGTTTATATATATACATATATCCCTTTTTCAAGACTCCAACTCCGGTAGTAGGAAGGTTGTATTGTCATGTCCTGAATTTTCTGCATAATCTTACCGTTACTGGTGTGATGGAGCAGCACCAAGGGGAAGCATTGATGTCGAGTTGCAATATGAATACATGCTAATGGTGCTCGGAAAAATACCTAAAGTGTGAGAGAAATCAACATACAAAATTTCTTAACAAAGAAAAATAAACAAATTAAGAGTTGGTATGCTGATCTCAACTGTTTCTACCAGGTGAGGAGTGAGGACCAAGGCTCACTCCTGAGTCCTCCCACCGTGGAATCATTTTGTTTCATTTGTCAGCGAGGTCACGGATCAAATTGAGATGCAAATACAAAGTTTTATGAATCAAATGTTAAGAATTTAAGGTTTGTGTAACTCAAACTAATTTGGCACCTATCTCAGCATCAAATGTTATACAAAAATGCCGGAAATTCTCTCCACTAGCTTCTGCCTTATTCCTCCTCAAACAAACTAAGCTTATATAATCTACTCATGATACACATTCCCTCCCTCCCTACTACACTGAATAACAAAGACTGGAATATCATTCTAAACTGTGTATGTCGAGCTGAATGAGAGCCTTTACACGGTCTTGTCAAAACAAAATAAACTTGGATGAATACGCATTCCCTCCATAATCTAATTTACCGAACAACAAAGATTAGGATTTTAGTAGACAAACCTCATGCATAAGCTCTGCATGTTGAACTGAAGAGATACTTTACGTGGTCTCCTGGAAGGATTGAGAGCGAGAGAGGGCTGCTGGATTTGCCTGTAAAACTCGATCAGCATCTAATGTTTGGGTTTTAGTATCTGATTTCTTTCGGAAAGCTTTAAAAATACCACCTCTAACTACAAGTTCATTCTTATCCTGTTTGATACGCAAGGTAGACCATATAGAACTCTTTGCAGCCTCTTCTGGGTCATCAATTCTCAAAGTCTTGGGTACCCAAAGGCACTGTTTTGTTATTACATCTTCATGTACATTTGCATCTCTTGCATATTTTCCCAAGGTTGCCGAGCTATTGCCCGAACATCCGCTGTTGCCAGAGGAAGACAAAAGTGACAAGCTGCCAGCAGATCCAACCAGCTGAGAATTCCATTTTCTGGAGTCCCAGCTTGGCATGTAACCCCAGTACAAGGAAGGCACAAATGGGAAAGCGAAAGTGGGAGTACAAAAACTAGGAACTGTAACCATAGGCAGAGGACCTACATGAGAAGGATTAGGATTACTGCTATCAGATCCAAACATCATTATGCCCCAACTTGGAGTCTTGGCCCATTGAGGAACAGGGCAATATTGCATAGTATACATATGACTAGAATCATTGTCATATCCTGGCAGACCACCCTGCTTCATTTCTTTTGTCAGACACGCAATGTGCTGTGAAGCAGTGGCTGATAAGGAACCACCATCGCCGTCAGCTGCAGAGCCAGTCTCAGAATTTCTCATCTGGTGTTTCTGGTTCGAGGCAGTCTCTGTAGATTCAACTAAAAGCGCATCTGAGACAGAACTTAAGCCTTCCTTCATCTCATTGACAGGCTTTGGAGAGGCTGGAAGTCCACAAGGTGAAAGATGCTGTTGGCCAACAACGTTAAGGGTGCCTCCCTGGGTGACTGGTACTGCATTCGGTTGTCCCACTACCTGATGATACTGCGAAGATGAATGCTTATTCTTGCGCCGCCTAGTACCTAGAGGAACATTTCTTATGGTTCCCCCAGCAGTCCAATATCTTTGGCAGCTCTTGCAAAAGTGTCTCGGTTGGTAAACACTGTAATTATTGAAATAGCAAAACTTTGTTTCTAAGCTTTTGCAGCGAGGGCAAGGAAGAACCTTGTCTGGCTTTCTGAGAGACTTTTCTATGCCTTTCGTATCACTATCCACGCATTGGTCTTCTCCTTGATCACAATTAACTTCACCCTCATTCTCATGGATTAGGCCTTGGCGATTGTTTTCTCTGCTATTATCTAGTTCCGAAGATGTATCTTGCGTGCAGGATTTTTCTACAGAAGGGTCCTCCATTTCTCTACACTCACCCTGAAAATTCAAAGTTTTGATTGCTTACGAGTTACGACACTCAAGTTGCAGCAGCAGTAGCTTATAATTAAGGGAACTTTAACGAAAAGCACTCGGTACTGTTCACTTTAACGAAAAACCACATTTTTACACTAAAAAGTCAATCCTGGTACTATTCACTTTACCCTTTATTTTGTCCTTATCATTAAAACTCAAAGTTTTCAAGCCCTTTTCATTAGTTTTCCTTATCACAGCATGTAGAACAGGGAATTTGGCATCAAAGGTGAGCCATAAGTTCAATTTTTATCACTCGAAATAAAAGCTAAAAACAAATGAACTGCCATTAGGAAGAAAATGAAGGTGAAGCCACAACTATAATTCACACATTGTCAAATTACGATTTTCAAAATAGCCAACGAAGAATGACAAACAATAACAAAATGTGGCTTCAAGCTCTTCTGTTGAGCTTTATAATTCATTTTTCTCAGCGGGGATGGGGATTCGAACTTCGGAACTCATCCAATCTCCTTTCAGTTGTTATACATTATACATATAAGTGAGAAGCTGCATAAGATTAAACTGCCCCATCTGGTTGTAAACTAAATCCAGTAAGATTTCGAAACATTGATTTAACACTTCAATTACAAATATCAAGTGGAAGAACACAGCTTACTCAAATTCAAAAGATAAACGAAGCAAGTAGTTCAATGTGAATTTCTACAAAATTGAAAGAGTTCCATGGAGCAGCAAAAAGGAAGAAATTAGAAAGGAAAAGAGCAGAGAGACTTAGAGAGTGGATTGGATTGGTACCGTATCTGCCACCAAACACTCTTTATCGGCGGACAAATCGTGAATCTGAAGTTGTGGGAGCGGAATAATCCTCCCGAAGAGCTTAATGGCTGGATCTCCCACTTCGGACATTGCCTTGCTTCACCTTACAGTCTTAGTCTTAGACTCGCACAAAAACTCTCCATATTAAACACCACTGAACCAAACCCACTGCCACAACCATTTTCTTAGTATTATTATTTTTTTTTAATTTTAATGAAATACTTACTGTTTATTTTTAAAGAAAAAAAAATCATACTTTTACCTTTTTACCTTTCACGTACTAATTATTACATCTTTATTACATCTTTTTCATTAAAACTAAATTTTTTTTTGATTTTTTCGTTAGTTAGTTTACTGTTATCTAAAATATAAAGTAGCTTTAGTTGAATTACCCTAAAGTTTTGCCAGTCCTTAACACTCTAGTAGGTAAGCATTAAATGCAAGAGAGGACGTCACACTCTTAATCACACCCGGTAGAGTAGACACCTCTACCGGGCCAACGTGCTCTTCATGCCTCATGGTATTTTCAGTAGAGTTCCTACATATGGACAATTATTGTATAAAATAAGTATAAAATTAACAAATATAGAGACAAAATGAATCTCCAATAGATTGGAAAGTTAGTCCCTAAACTATAGAGGTTTACCAGATACATAATGTATGTCCTCACATATAGGAACTATATAGGAACAACCTTGAGTTGAACAAGACCCAAAATTTTGATTGAAGCTTTTAATGCTTTTAATTTTAATGTTTTTAATTAATTAAAAAAAGGCTAACATAAACAAAAAATATGTATCTTGAATGAAAAAACGAGGCCACAATCTCGATTGAAGATTTTAAACTTTTAATGTTTTAAATTTTAATGATTTTAATTAAACAAAAAATGTGCACCTAATCAAATTATCTCATAAAATCATAAAAACTTCAAATTTATGGATTCTATTACAAGGACTATCCAATTGGAGGCAACATTCTTTTAAGGACACACATATTCCTTTTACTTTAGACATTTTACTCATCATAACTGTCACGTCCTAATCCCGACATACGTTCAGGATCGACACATGACGTCACAAAAAAAATGTATTGCTAACATACCCCGCCTCCGGGATATGGGGCAAAGCACAACTCAAGATCCCACTACATAATAATGTATTCGTATACTTTATGGCTGCATCTAACCTCTTCGTTAGACTGCCTACGTACCTTTAATAGGGATCAAGCCGTTCGTAGTTCACCATTCACTACACTCGAACAATTATCACATAAATCACTATGTCTCAACATAATACCACCCAACATGCATGCAACATCTCGAGAAATATTCGATGAAGCATAATAATATCCTCTAGTCATCTTGGTCAACGAGTCTAATTAGAATAATAACAACTATAACCAACATCATCCAATAATCACATCAATCGATAGCACAAATAATACACCGAAATGTAGGGCTAAAGCGACACAGTTCAGCCAAAGCCTACATCTTCGAAGCTGAAGTCAAATCCAAGGAACCAACAAGTCAAATGATGCGATTTCAGACCACTCAACAAAATCCATCAACATCAGGTTCCAGACCACTCAACGGAATCATAGAGTAGAAAGGATTCTGGATCTCTCAACGGAATCCGAGTGGATACAATTCCGAACCTCTCAACGAAATCACGTAGTACGATGCATATCAAACCAAACCTACTCAATGAAATCCAAGCTAGATACGATTCTGAACCACTCAACGAAATCGCGGATCATGGGGATTCTGGACCTCTCAACGAAATCCAGATGGAGCAAGGAACCAAACCACTTAACGGAACCCCAGCGGAAGCCTAGTTCCAAATCACTCAACGAAACCAAACTGAAATCCAAGGAATATAACAATGCTCGAAGAACAAGACATGAAACAAGGAATGGAACAAAGCACAAGGTACACAATTAGAACAACTCAACGAAACGATAAATGGAATGATACGATATGTGAAACAAGTCTTGAAGCAACAAACCCCATGGCATTGGGTTAACGGTCCACTACTAGCCTTCACATTTCATCACATCATACCAATTATGCAAATCAACCACATTTCAAATATGCACGTCAAATCACATATCACAATCATCATTAGTACACAAGCCAAATCATGTTTAATAAACATAGGTCAATGGCTAAATCTATAAAAATCACATTTATAACACCAAGTCATATTCACAATAATATTAATATAAGAAATCAAAGTTGCATATCGAAATGTACCAAGTACAACTAATCATCATCACCCCTAGTATGTATAGGGTCCCCCATTGCAGATATACCGCATGATATAACCGTGCTTGCAGTGATCACCCATCACGGATATACCAAGCATGATCACTCCTAACAATCCCCCATTGCGGGTATACCAAGCAGGATTGTATCCTATAGCTTTAGGTAGTGATCACCTATTGAGGATATATCAAGCATGATCACCCCTAAAATGTGTATGGTCCCTCATTGCGGATAGGGGTGTGCTATCCACACACCTCTTTTTACTTCTCCCATACCCCTTGTTAATTTTTGTCATTTGATGTTCTTTAATTCATCTGATCCGACGACCGAAAATTAAAAGGGTGTGAGAGAAGTAAAATGGGGTGTGTGGATATCACACCCCTGCGGATATACCAAGTAGAACCATATGCATAGTCTAATGTGTGGTCCCTTATCGCAGATATACCAAGCAGGATTATCCAAGTACCACTGCTACCTGGTGCAATCAGTTCAACACAATCTACCCCTACCTCAATCCCTATGATTTACAACGTAAGCACTTGCACTATCAACTTCTCATGACCACTATCTATCTTGTCATACAAGCATAAAAGTTCTACGTAATACATCTAATAGGATTCTAGGATCACCTTGTCATAACATTTACCATACTTATCATTCACATTATTATTAAGAAGATAAATAAACACATATATATCACAATATGACGTTCCATACACAGAAACCGATGTATATAATATCTGGGATAACTCACTAACCAATGTAGGCCCACTAGACTTCATTTAGTATCCCGTAGAACTAAATATAGTATTTAGAACGTTTCGAGACATGTTGACCAAAAGCCAACTCTCAGTCAATGGTAATGTCCATAATTCTATATAATTCAATCTGGAAGATCCGCACATTGGATTTCAGATCCGTAACTTTCTAAGGTCCAATTATGCTTCTAGAACAACATACTAAAATTTCATCACGATCCGACAGTCGAATCTCCACCAATTACTTGGATGAGGTGGCAGTCAACAATTTGTTTTATAAACTTTCAAATCCAATTCGGGAAGATCCATACGTCAGATTCCTGATCTGTCAATTCCTAATATCCTCAAATATTACGTTCTATAACGCAATAATGTTTGGTTATGATCCAATGGTTGGATCGTCGATTCATATAATGATCAAGTGATGTACCATGATGAAACGAGTTTCAAATAATCAAATCACATCATACAGACATCACATATGAAATTAGGGCATCTAATTGAATTTAGAAAGATATTGTCAGCCCATTGGCCACGCGCCGTCGCGGGTGGCGGTTGGCCACCCTGACTTATTAAAAAAATTCAACTATTTTTAAAAAATTACTAAATTTTATAGGAAAGTAGATATCAGTGAGGGGATGAATTTTCATACATGTGGACAAGTCCAATTTGTCTGGGAAACTCCTGAATTTGCCCACAAACCGCCAAACCCCTAGATTTTGGGTGTTCTTCAATTCGACCAATCCACAACACCACCGCCCTAAAAATGTTTGGGCTTTGTTCCTGGACTCTAGAAGAGTGTTTTGGTGCTAATAATTGAAGGATATCATTTCAGAATTGGTGGATCTTGGGCAAGGGTTTTTGCGGCACCCACAGTTCAAACTTCGTGAAATAGTAACCAATTCTTGTCGATTTTGGCTAGAATGGGATGATGTGATATTGTGATGAGGTTTAGTGGTGATGAGAGGTTGAGGAAAGCTGGAAAATAGGTGGAAAACCCGTCAAAAAAGTCACAGAGAGCTGGTCAGGTCATGGGTGAATAGGACACCAAAAATGGGGGGTTCGATTGTGTGTTTCCCTTCCTCTCTCTCCTTTCTCTCCCTATTCTAATTTCTGATTGGGTAGCTCCCTTTCCCTCGTTTTCATTTCTCTCCTGCCTCTCCTTTCCTTCATCTCTCTCGCTGCCATTTGGTAGCTTCCAGTCTTTCTTTTTGTTTTTTGTTTTTTTTTTTTAACAACTAAAAATGTTTCTAATTTCTTCGTTTCAACTCTGATTCGCAAACGGTTTTCGCATACGCGCTTGTAGAGTCGAGTTCTATCCAAAAATATAAATTGTGACCCCGAAATGTCTACAATTTTTAAATAATTAATTTCCAAACTTCAAACTTCGTAATTAGTTTAATAAAAATATAAATTCAAATAAATTAGTATAAATTCTTAAAAATGATATAAATTCTCAATAATACAAATACGTAGATTATACTAGTGAAATATAGAAACGGGATTTCACAATAACTAACCATGCACGTGATCCATTCATTAACTTGCTTAAAGAACACACGTATTCGTGCACATAATACCACCGTTAATGTTTCCTTTTTCGGTTACTAAAATAACATACATATGCATGCACATAATTTCATCATTAACTTTTTCTTTCTTTCTTTATTAACTCCGATTCACAAACGGTTTTCGCATACGCGCTTGTAGAGTCGAGTTCTATCCAAAAATATAAATTGTGACCCTGAAGGGTCTACGATTTTTAAATAATTAATTTCCAAACTTCAAACTTCGTAACTAGTTTAATAAAAATCTAAATTCAAATAAATTAGTATAAATTCTCGAAAAATGATATAAATTCTCAATAATACGAATACGTAGATTATAATAGTGAAATCCAGAAACGGGATTTCACAATAACTAACCATGCACATGATCCATTCATTAACTTGCTAAAAGGACACACGTATTCGTGCACGTAATACCACCGTTAATGTTTCTTTTTTCGGTTACTAAAAGAACATAGATATTCATGCACATAATTTCATCATTGACATTTTGTTTCTTTCTTTCTTTATTACAAGTATGTAGATATCCATGCACGTAGTCGCATGCTTAACCTCTTTTTTTTATGTCGTAAAGAAAAAAATAAGGACTATCCGAAATGTCATATTTATTCTCATCAATAATCCAATCACAAGTTACCTGAAAAATCGTTTTTTACGAAGATTTAGCCATCATAGATATGCACATAGGAACAAAGCACACTTCACAATCCAAGCTAATTTGAATTTTGACGAGTAAATAATATGATGACTGTAAATATCTCCACAAGAATGTGTAGATTTTCATTTACATTTAGCAAAATGATCTAGCTAGATATGTATACTCTCTTTTCTCTTTGTTGCCCTTTTTTTTTCAATTGTTTATGAAAAACAACTAATCCATCAATCCTCTAATCGATCAATATCCAAATGATTGTTATTATGTACATCTCTGATATTTTTATTTGAAAAAAAAGTTTTGACTTTTAATGGGGTTTTAATAAAGAAAAACATAACTAACCATGCACGTAGTTCATTCATTAATTTGCTAGAACACACATTTATGTCAACGTAATACTACCGTTAACTGTTTCTTTTTTTCGGTTACTAAAAGAATCTATATATCTATGCACGTAATCTCACCGTTAACTTTTTCTTTTTCTTTTAATTTACTAAAAGAACGTAGATTCGTAAATATGTCTAAGAATGCGTAGATTTTCATTTACATTAATGATCTGGATATCCTGTTTTTTTTTCCCTTTGTTGTCGTTTTTTTCTTTTCAATTTAACACAACAACCCAAATACACATTTTTTTCTTTTAAAACACATTGTTTTGTTTTAGGGAACTTTAACGAAAAGCTCCAGGTACTGTTCACTCTAACGAAAAACTACATTTTTACACTAAAAAGTCAATCCTGATACTATTCACTTTACCCTTTATTTTGTCCTTATCGTTAAAACTCAAAGTTTTCAAACCATTTTCATTAGTTTTCCTTTTGTTGTACCTTCGTATTTTTAGGTTTTGAAATCATAAAAAAATAATGTAATCAACAATAAATAAAAAGAAAAATAAGAAGACGCTCACACTCGTCGGATAAAGAGTGGAGCAATATCTGGAGTAAGATAAGATCAAAATTCCTACCAACCCTAGTGTCCTTCTGGAATCATCTACAGCCCCTATAAATTGAGTGAAGAAGCAGTGTGTGGACAAACAAACACGAGTTATACCATATAGCTCTTACAACACACGGCATCTTTGGGTAGAGAATATCTCTGATGGGTTGGAGATCAGCCATGGCTGCCAAAGCCCAAGGTGACAATGAAGATGATGATCCTGATGGTTTAGAGAGCCTGATGATGGTTCTCAAATCGATCGCATCCATGATTTACCAGGGCTATTTGCCAGAGGTGATTTTCCTAACCTAACATCCCTTAATCGTTTTAGGGTTTCATTCATTTCCATTAATTTATTGTTGCTTCTGATGTTTTGGTCGCTGGATCTGAATCATCGGATCATATCTGTAACTAATTAACATTTTTACAAAAATATAACTGAAAACTGATATTTTGTTATGGATCAAATTAATGTATATTTATCCTCTTTTGTTGAACCAGGTTTATGCCGATTCTGAAGGGGTACGCAGAAGATATAAACCGAGGCATCATCATCTCAGTCGGATATGTCATCCTGAGACCAAGAAATGTACTATGTGATTGTTAATGTCTTAACTTTTTTTCGTTTTCAAATTTTTGTTGCATGACTTGGAATTTCTTTTGCTATATATACAGGAGCATAAACTGATCACCTTCGGTAGCATGCATACCCAACCTGGTGTGGTGGCGTTTCTGCACCAGTGAGATTGATGATTGAATACGAAGGAAGATCGTCATGTGGATTTGAAATACATATGTAGATTAGATGTTATTATATTTTTTGTAAAGCAAGATGTAGAAAATATATGATACTAATATGATCGTACCTCACATTTTGTAAAGGGATCAGTCATAGCTAATTTAGATTTGTAGCGTTTGTTGATTCTCCATACATTTTGTAAAAGGAAGTCTAAACTATAAGAATTCATGACTAGTGTATGTTTATTTATGGTCTTCAATTCCCTCATTCAACCTGGTGATTGGGACATTCTTCTTCAACCACTAGTTCTTAGTTCAGAAAGTCATCCTCCCCTTAGTATAAATGTCATATTTATTTTTAAATTGGTTTTTTGCTGTTGTTAAAATGTTTTAATATGACTGGTGCATTCACTCCAACAATTTTATGCATCTATAAGCACTATCATCACAAATGTCATATCGACCAAAGTGAATCCACTACTTACATTATACACAATTTAAATGATACAAATGAAGAAAAAAAAGGTGCGACTACTTGCATGAATACGCACATTCTTGAACTAAGTTCATAAAAGAAAATTAATGGTGAGATTGCTTGAATTGATATATACGTTCTTTTCATAAGTTAACAAAGAAGATCAGTGCGTCTTTTTAACAAGTTAATAAAGAATGTACGTGCATACGTAACACATATTTTAACAAGTTAATAAAGGAAGTACGTGCATGGTAAGTTACGGTTTTGTTTATGAAAAACAACTAATCCATCAATCCTCTAATCAATATCCAAATAACCTACAAGCTAAGCCAATAAGAAGGCAACCGAGTGGTTCTCTAGCAATAATCTCAAAATGGAGTTGGCTAGCAAGTGAGCAAAAGTTACCTTATCTCTATCGTTCTCTCTCTTGAAGTTAGTTTCATTGAACTTTTCGGAATTCTCTTTATGAGAGAGAATAGCAGAAACAAGTGTAAATTACTGAATTACCCAAATCATCCCTAGTAAAGTCATTGATTTTTGTACCATAGAGAAGGGAAAAAAACAGCAACTTAGTATTTTTATGTATCGGAGCGCTATTGAATTAAAATAACAAAAAAAAAACGTAACTAATTACAAAAAATAAAAAAATAAAAAGAAGAGAGAAGAGAGAAACGCACACACTAGTGAGACTTGATAAGATCAAAATCCCTACCACCTATAACCCTAACGTCCTTCTGGAATCATCTACTATCCCTATAAATTCAGAAGACGCTGCTGTCTTTGTCATGTGTGGAAAAACAAACAAACACGACATAGATAGCTGCAGTTACGGCGTGTTTGGTGGAGAGTTGTCTGACATGGCTGCCGAAGCCCAAAGGGGAGATGGCGACTTCGACGATGATGATCCTGATGATGACGAGAGCCCGGTGATGGCTGTCATGTCAACAATCGATCGAATCTATGATTTACCAGAGTTATTCGCCAGAGGTAATTTTCCTAAATTTAGGGTTTGATTCATGCATTTCCGTTGGTTTAGTTAGTGTTCTGGTATCTGAATCTGAATCATTGGATCATGGTTAGAATCTTTACAAATATATAACTGAAGATTGGTTTTTATTCTGGATCGAATCGGTGCGTATGTATTTTTTGTTGGTGGGTTATTTGAGATTCCATCTTTTTTTAAGTTTTTATATATTAGGTGGTGGGTTTTAGAGATTAATATTATTATATGAGAGATCGAGAGAGGCTAATCAGTTGGTTATGATTAGGGCTGTTGTTAATTTATGGATTTAGTTTTCTTTGTTCAGGTCAGTCATTTGAGATAATCCAGTGCTGATGCTTTTTTGTTTCTTTTGATTAACCAGGTTCATGCCGATTCTGGACCGGAGGGAGCATAGAACTTATAAATCGAGGCATTGTCTTATCGGCATCCTCGATTTAAGGCCGAGAAATGAAATGGAAGCCTCGTATTTGTGCTTCCTTTCGAATAGCTGCAAGCTTCGACTCGGATGGAAATCTCTCGCCCAAATCTCGCTGGGATTTTGGGTGCAGGTTAAGCCTTGTCTTCGGTAGCCTTCTCCAAGGATTTACGGGCTAGATCAAGAGGCGGATGTGACGTACAGGTTCTAATGAACCTTCTCAACATTAGTGTCTCCAGCCCTAACAGTGAGAAGATAGCCATCATCAAATGTGTTGGATGCTAAACACTTCCAGTTTGATCGAAGAAATGAAGCAGCTACATGCTAACGGCTAGTTTTTGTAACGGCTAGTTGTTTTTTAAGTAATGTTTTTTTACAAGTGTAAGGCTTAGATTAAAAGCTCCAGTGAAGGGCTTAGATTAGCTTAGTACTATCTGGTGGTTGTGGTTTTTGTCAACTAGCTCTAATGGAGATAAGATTTGACCTTGTATACCACAACCCTACTGACAACATATATATATATTTGCTATGAGCTGCTAAGTGGGCAGACTGCAATAGCCGAAATCCCTTCTTACATTTCTGTGTTTTTCCATAACCAAAAACCCTGTCAAGAACATTTCTACAAAATATAAACCTTCCAAAACACTAACATGGTATCAGAGCTTTGTTCTTGATCACTGAAATCTGGGCATTGTGGAACCTATTTCGAGGGTTGTTCAGGTAAAAGCTGAAACCCTAACTGTCAATATAAGTTAAAGATGAAAGGAGCTGGTGGAGGAGAACTTAAAGCTCCAGTCTTTGATGGAGAAAACTACGACTATTGGAGGATCCGGATGACAACCATCTTCAAGTCGTATGATCTCTGGGAAATGGTTCAAAATGGATATGAGTTACCAGAAATGGAGGTAGATGCTCTAGAAGAGGATCTCACAGAGAAGCAGATATCTACATTGAAGGAGAACAGGATGAATGATGCTAAAGCGTTAGGAATCATTCAAGGTGCTATCTCCGATGTCATATTCCCAAGGATAGCAAATGAAGAAACTGCCAAAGCTGCCTGGGATACTCTGCAACAAGAATACATAGGAGATGTGAAGGTACGGAAAGTAAAACTCCAGTCTCTTAGACGTGATTTTGAATATACATGCATGAAAGAAGATGAGCCACTTAAAGACTATTTTTCTAGGCTGTTTGATGTTGTGACTCAAATGAAAACTTATGGAGAAGAACTGCCTAATGAAAGAATAGTGCAAAAGCTTCTAATTAGTTTGACTAAGCCTTAAGACTCTATTGTGAGTGTGATAGAAGAAACTAAGGATACTGATACACTCAGTGTTCAAGATGTAATGGCTTCCTTGAGAGCTTTTGATCAAAGGCTCGAAAGGCATTCTGATGGTGCAACTGAGAAAGCCTTCCAGTCACTAAACATAGGGTCATCAAATCACTCTAATCAGCATCAAAACAGACCAATGAGAGATTGGAAAGGGAAAAATAAGAAGTGGGAAGGAAGACCAAGTGGAGAGAACAAATACAACAGTGGAAGCAACAATGGGGGTGGAAAAACCAAACCATTGTGCAGATACTGTGATAAAGCCCATTTTGGTGAATGTTGGTTTAAAGGAAAGCCAAAATGTCACAAATGCAATAGATTTGGCCATTTGCAGAAGGATTGTAGATTAAACACCACTCAGCAAGTGAACATTGCAAAACAAGAACAAGAAGAAAACAATGTCTTTTGTGCTTTTAGTGCCAATGTTGTAAAAGACAGTGAAGTGTGGTATATAGACAGTGGGTGCAGTAATCATATGACTGCTCATGAGTCTCTATTGACTAATATTGATACTACATTCACTGGAAAGGTTAAGATGGGAAATGGCGATATTGTGAAAGCAACTGGCAGAGGTACTCTCATAATAGAAACCAAGAAGGGAAGAAGACACATTGAAAAAGTCATGTTGGTACCTGGTCTGGAGGAAAACCTTTTAAGTGTTGGACAGATGATGGAACATGGCTATTTCTTGTTGTTTGGAGATACCATTGCTGAAGTATATGATGATAGAACTCTATTGAATCTGGTTGTGAAAGTTCAAATGAAAAATAGAAGCTTTCCATTGTTGCTTAAATGCTTGGAAGAAGTGGCAAGGAAGGCAGGCAAAATTGAGTCAGAGAGACTATGGCACAAAAGGTTTGGGCACTTGAATGTGCAAAGTCTAAAAAATCTGCAAAAACATGATATGGTGCAAGGTTTGCCTCAAATGGATGAAATGAAGGAGGTTTGTGAAGGCTGTGCATTTGGGAAACAACACAGGGACAAGTTTGAAACTGGAAAGGCTTGGAGGGCTGAGAAACCACTAGAACTAATTCACACTGATGTGTGTGGTCCAATGAAAAATGCATCCATCAGTGGGAATAAGTACTTCTTGACTTTCATAGATGACTACTCAAGAACGTGTTGGGTATATTTTATGAGGTTCAAATCAGAAGTCTTCAATATATTCAGGAAGTTTAAAGCAATGGTGGAGTTACAAAGTGGGCATCAAATCAAGAAGATAAGGAGTGATAAGGGAGGTGAGTATACCTCACTGGAATTCAAAGCTTTCTGTGAAGATTTGGGTTTAGAAAGGCAACTCACAGTAGCTTACACTCCTCAACAAAATGGCACTGCAGAGAGAAAGAACAGGACTATATTGGAGATGGCAAAATCCATGCTACATGAGAAGAAAATACCTTATTCATTTTGGGGAGAAGCTGTGAATACTGCTGTGTATCTCTTGAACAGATGTCCTACCAAAGCTTTGGAGAAACAAACTCCATTCGAAGTGTTCAGTGGAAGAAAGCCTGGAGTCAAGCACTTAAAGGTTTTTGGCTATGTGTGTTATGCACTGGTGCCATCACAACTCAGACACAAGTTACAAGAATCCAGCAATAAGTGCATTTTTGTTGGGTATGGCACAAATGAAAAAGGTTATAGGCTGTATAATTTGAGAACCAAGAAGATCAATCTCTCAAGAGATGTAATTTTTGATGAGGAATCATTGTGGAATTGGGAGACAAATGCAAAAGAACAAGACAAAGTATCACTGCAAGTTGATGTCCCTGAGCAAAGAACTGCACAAACTGAAATTGGTGAAATTTATGAATCTGAAGAAGAAAGCTTGCAGATTCCTTATATCTCACCAGTTCAAACCCCTCGGAGTACACAAAACTCAAGTGCAAGTTCAACATCTCAACAGAGAGGGCAACAAAGCTCGAGTTCAAACTCAAGCTCAGGATCAACACTAATTAGAATGAGAAGCCTAGAAGAAATCTATGCAGCATGCAATTTCTGTGTTATTGAACCAGAGACCTTTGAAGAGGCTGAA